ATGAATGTATTTCACAAAGATGACTCTCAGAACCCCAAGAAGATGGCAGAAGAAGCAGTTAGGATACCAATGGGATTGTGAGGGCAAGGGGACAGAGACCTGAATTGCAGTGTGGTAGTGAAAAGACAACACACATGAGATCAGGACCAAGTAACAAATGTGTCATGAAGAGTCCTGGAAGAGCAACAGTCAAAAATTATTTTAGAGCTTCTAACTCGGAAGACTTTGTGGTTTCTAACTCGGGTAGAATAATGGTCCCACTGAGCCAGGCAGGACCGTCCAGAGGAGCAGAGGCAGGGTTGTATTTAAACTGACGCCCACGTGGAGGCATCTGCAGGGGATACGATGGGGTGGTGAATGTCCTCATTGTCAGTGTGGGGTACTCGGATTCATCGACAGAGTGGCCATCTGAAGTCACCGATAAAGTGAGGCTGTGCAGAGGGGTGAGAAAAAGGACTTTGAAGAGTCCTGAACTAAGAATGAAGGTGAAGCCAAGAAAACTTATCTAAGAAGGGGAGACTGAGGGAAGCCAAACCTGCCTGGCCCAGGATTCTTGAAAAACAGGAGAGACTTTGAAAGAGGACCAATGAAGATGAAATGCTGCTGAGAGGACAGGAAACAGTCCAGAGATGATCACAAATGACAACAGAGAGATTTAAAGAGAGAAAAAGAAAGTATCACAGGTTTAAAAAAAAAGAGAGAGAGAGAACCAACCAACCACAGCAAGAGATGGAGAACACACTAACCCTCTTACATAGAGGTAAGGAGGAAGCCCCAGCAGCCTCCCACCATCCCTGCCAAGAACACAGGTGCAGAAACCCAGGCAGGGCAGGCATGTTCTCCTGCCTGGGGTCTTGCTGCATTCCAATCTTTAAGGGTGGAGAAAAGGAATGCAGCACCATCCCCAATGCCCTACAGACTTAGAGAGCTCCAAGATGGCACTTGAAGAAATCAGGGACCACACAGGCACTGGGCCATACATGTACTGTGCTCGCCAATGTGGAATGTGAAGTTCATGATACACCAATGCAATTCCTGGACTCTAAAAACGTATCGCCTAAAGCTATATGTAAGCATGAATTCATAGACTGAACTTTCTAGAATTGCTTTGCCAACATTGATCATGAAAATTTTTTATTTTCTCTAGATTTCTTTTCATTTCGCTGTCAACAAATTCTTTAACCCTAAGTCACGAGCCTACTACATGCTGATGAGGTGGCCAGGTTTTGAGGATCAAAAAGACCATATGATAGGTTATTATATAAACTAACAGTATGTAAACATAAAAGCATCATTATTAGTAGCAAATCCTGCAAAGAGCTGTCCTCACACAAATGCTGTATGATTCCATCCACACAAGGTCCCTAGAGTAGTAACTTCAGAGAAACAAGAAGCAGAACAAAGGTTGCCAGGAACTGGGGTGAAGGAAGTGGAGTTTAGTTTCATGGGAGCAGCTTCAATTCTGTAAGAGGGAACCTCTGGAGGTGGGCGGTGGTGACGGCGGCCCAACAGCATGGACATACTTGATGCCACTGAATACACACTTGAAAAAGGTTAGTTAACATGAGGAACTTTACATCACATATACTTTACTACAATTATTTAAAAGGAAAATAATGGTCTTTGGGTTTTTTTTTCAATAAAATCTCTCTGTTGTGGAATTATGGATAAAAGTCTGACCTAGTCAAAGGTCTTGTTGACCTACTGCATTAACCCCTGGAAATGCAGGCTGCAATCACTGGGTCTCCTTTGCAGTGTAAAACGAAGTTGTGCCTGTGTATGCACAGGCAGAGCATCCCTAATCTGAAACCCTGAGATCAGAAACTGTGTCAGTGTTGTCATGACACCATAAGTAGAAAATTCCACACCAGGAATCTCTAATTTTTGCACAAAATTATTTAAAAGAACATATAAAATTACCTTCAGGCTATGTGTACAAGAAACATAAATGAATTTCATGTTTGGATTTGAGTCCTATCCCTAAGATATCTCATAATGTATGTGGAAATATTTTTAAAAATTTAAAAAAAAACAAAGTCTGAAACACCTCTGGTCCCAGGCATAAGTGTTACACTCCATCTGTGTTTAGTTACGTGTCTGGGAGAACTCACGAGAGAAGCTAAGGAAGGCAACACCATGATGGGAACTCTCCTAATGAAAGAGCCAGAGCCTGTAGCATGAGGGAAACATGTGTGCCATGTCTGTCCCATGAGAGAACAACCTGGAACAAATCGGAAGTTACTTGGTTGAGAGAAGGCGGAGGCTCAGGTGTGGGAGCCAGCATGCACTGCTGCAACATCCCTGACCCACGTTACACGATCACGTCCTGACCATAGACATGAGTATCTACAGTGGAAGGCAAAAATAAGAGAACCGCCACCTGGTCCCCAAACACCAACCCCCAGCACCACACACTGTACTTCCTACGCGTGCTGTGTCAGAGCTTAGAGTTCCTCCATATGGACCTAAATAACACAACTTTAATCTCAGACCCTTTATTCATTGCTACCTTTTCAACAACAGATCCTTTATAGATACCTATGAATGAATGAACTTCAAGAAAAGTCAAATATGAATGAGAAATGATCATTTTAATTACCTAAAGTGTTAAGCCATGTGTTGAAAAGACCTCAATTAAATGCATAAAAATAATGAATAAAATTGTTAAAAGTACATTTTAAGTTTTAAGTGTCAAATACATGGTCTATTATCAGAAAAATAATCATCATATAAAATAATTTAATAGTCACAAAGTGACCATAATGAATTCCTATCATTTTAGCCCCAGGATTGTTATTTTATATATTATAAATATATACATATATATAAATTATATTCAATTTTATTATTTATATGTACCTATAAAATAACAATAAATAAATACATACATAAAATAACAAGAAATAACTACCATTAAGTTGTCACTTTAAAAGGCAAATTCTCAATAAAGGTGAAAAACAAAATAGAACCCAAAACGAAACTCAAGCGAGGCCAAGCAGTCAGACTGGAATTTTACCTTATCTGTGCATGTTTTTTTCAGTGATGAGACAGATGCAAGATTTTGACCAATAATTCCAGATGATATTCAATAAGTAATATATAATATTCAACAGATTGTTCAAAACCCTTTTTAAAAATATGAGTTAAGTTCTGAAACACAAATCATCTGTTTTCTGATCTGTTTCCTAATGTTAACTCCTTTTCATTACTGCACAAAGTACTCTAGAGAGTAAGAAGAACTGACATGAGCTGACTTCCTTTTTTTTTTTTTGCTATAAACCAGAACTTTATATTCAAAAAGGAGAAATACTATCAAAAAATATTAAAAACATATTCTACATTGGCCAGCACTCTTTTTAAGAAGTGGGAAGCTCTATGGTCCTAGCGGATAAAGCAATTGAGAAAATATCAAGAGCAGCAGACATGAACCCCAGGCACATCTTAATGGCTTTGCTAGTTTCTCCATTTACAAAAATCAGGACACTCTCAGTGCTGTTTGTGTTAGGTAATTAACAGCTGTAATGCACACTGAAAGTAGAAACTGCTAAATAAATAAAGACTGCCAAAGAATTTGAACCATAATGTGCTAAGTAATAATGATGAAACATAGGCTTCTAACTTTATCGTTTTTGTTTTCAAATTAATAATGCAAATAAGACTCATCTCAGCACAGTGCTAGAGAGCAAGTTGGCTTTAGTGATCAGAAATCACAGAAGGGATCTTGTGTCTCCAACAGCAGATGACTCAACTCTACAGGCAGCAATGAAGACATTCACGTTCTGTTCCAGTTGCTACAGAAATACCACTATTTTGCCTGTGTCTATCTTTTTTGTTCATTCCAAATAGAAGCTGCTCTACTTGAAAAATCCACTAAGCAATAAATGTTTTGAGAATTACCATTTATTTCACATTGATTGTGAAACCCTAAACCACATCAGTGCTTTAAACTATGTTCTGGGAATTAACAACACAATCGCATCTAAAATGACCATTCTCTACATTTTCCAATCTACTACAATATTTATGAGTTTGCAGGAGCATCTGAGAAGTTTCTATGCATTTTTAGACTTGCTTACTAAGGAAATAAAGATGAGAAGAGATCAGGACCCATTTCTAGACCTTCCCTCCAAACTTCACTCTCCACTGGTGATATCAGCACTTATAAGAGTTAAACTATGCTTAAGACAGGAAAGCTAAATATTTTACTACTCATTAGCTGCTCTTATCTTTTGTGTGTGTGTGTGTGTGTGTGTATATATATATATATATATATTTATTTGAAATAACTACTGAGTTTTGTGAAATTAAAAAGACCCCAAAATTACAAAAATCATGGAAAGATGGGAAAACCTTAGATATTAAATATATTTTACTATATACCTGGAAAACATGGTCTTCTGCCTAAATCTAAAATCTGATCAAGGTTCCATTCACAAAAAAAAAAAAAAATTGCTTTGTGAATTTTATGAACACTTATAAATAAACTGTGGCTATAAAGAACAATTTCAACATCACTGAAGAAATAAGAGTAAATCTTGTTTATTATCTATTTGGGGAGAAAGTCATCCCCCAATAATATTTTGAGAAAAAAATTAAAGGTCCACAGAAGAAACTAAAGGGTATTATTCACATTAAAATGCAAACATATAATTTTATTCTCATAATAACCAAGACCTCAAATACCATTTTTAGTGACTCATATTAATTTAATTGTGACATTAGCTTTTATAATCATAGATGTAAAAAGACCACTGTGTTCCAAACATAATTATCTCACCAGCATCTCATTTCACAAAATTATTAGTTAAGATGAGAGCCTCTGAGTGAATTTATATTTGATTTGTTTCACTTATTTAAGAACACTGAATAATTTAAGATCTGTTTAAATACAGGGGAAGCCACGCGCCACCCCCTCACCCCCCTCCCTGGGAGTGAATGTCTGCACCCTGCCGTCTCCAGACAGGCCCCAGCTCTGCTGAATGCACACCAACCAGGCCTACCTTCCAGATGAAGCCACATCAACCGCCCCTTCACGCTGACCACAGAGGCCACACAGAGTTCTCCTGGATTCCGGGGGTTCACGGCTTCCAGTTTCATGTTCTTTGTGAAACCCCTACTGAAGGACGTCTGAAAGAGAAACAGAACCGGCACTGAGACCAGAGCTAACCCAGCAGGATAAGGGCAGAGCACCTCGGGTGAAGATAGACTTGCGCCCTCGTCTCATCCCAGGACAGGAAGGGGGCTGGTCTGCACATTCACTGTTCCCCCCATTTGTGAAAAAAGAACCATGCACGTTTTATTTTGGCACTCCAGAAGCTAGAACTCTGCTTGGCAAACAGTGGCACCTGATAAATGAATCAGGATATGAATACACTTTTTTCAGTTCTGCACGTGCCTTTACTTCTACGGGATCACGGATACACACATCATTTCTCCTGATTTCCTATATTCCTTGCTAAAAATCATACCTAGGCATATTTGAGGTTGTTGAAGAGGGCACATGGAGTATCCACCTGGCCTTGTTTTCTTTGAAGACTGCCCTTTAACATGTCTTAAAATACAGTGGTGATGGATCCACACCCCACCCACCCACGGTTTTTAAAATCTGAAATTATTTTTATTCTCCCTCTGTCCTGTTTATTCATATTTACTTCCTAAATTAATTTTTGAAATTTTACCTATGGTAAAATTCACTCTTTGGGGTGTGCTGTTCCCTGAAGGTAGGGCTGTTAGACTAATACAAGGCACGTGTCTATAGCCACAATCAAAGGACAAAAAGAACAGTTCCTTCAACCCCCAAACTCCCTTGTGCTGACCCCCTTGGATAATCAGTCCCTCCTCAATGCTCAATCACCAAACTCTTTTTAGTTCCTATCAGTTTGTCATTTTATCTTATAGTGTCATATGAATGGAACCACACTGTGTGGAGACTTTAAAACCTGGCTTCTTAGTAAACTGCATTTGAGATCCACCCATGTCACTGCATGAGTCAATAGTCTGCTCCATTTTATGTCTGAGTAGTTTATACAGACATACCTCAGTTCAGCCATTTGCCAGTTAAGGTACACTGGAGCCCTTTCCAATATTCAGTGAATCTGAACAAAGTTGCTATAAACATTCAGATACAAGATTTTGTGGAAATGGAAGTACCCTAAGCTGCTCGGGTTGCCATAACAAAACACCAGAGACTGAGCGGTTTAAACCACAGAGAATTATTTCTTCATGGTCCTGGAGACAGGAGGTTCTCAGCAGTGGGTGCAGACCCCTGTGTCCTCATGGGGTCTTCCCTCTCTGTAGGTCTGTCTCCCAACTTCTCTTCACCAAGTCATACTGGATTAAGGCTCAGCCATATGACTTCATTTACACTGATTACTTCTTTGAAGATCCTGCCTCCACATTATGAGATACCCAGGAGTAAAAAATAATGAATTGTGGGAGGATGCAATTAAACTATTAACATTAATTTTTTCAATTCTCAAGAAATCAGATTGTGGACCACATGGTAGACAAATGTTTAATTGTCTAAGGCACTGTCAAATTGTCTTCCAAAGTGGCCGTGCTATTTTACATTCCCCCAGCAATGTACTGCTACAAATACTCATTGGTACTTGGTGTTGCGGGCTTTTCACAATTTAGCCATTCTGCGGGATCTAGTGGCACCTCACTGTGGTTTTATACTTAGTTTATCCTATTAAGCAATGATGCTGGGCATTTTTCCCCCCATCTCTTTGTCTTCTGGATAGCTTCTTAGGTGATGTGCTGCTTTTTCTTATTCCACTGTGTCTCCAATTAGACATGTCTTATTTCTCACACACCTGATATTTCACTTGTCATTTTTTCTCCTTGCCAATCTTTTTCTCTCTATTCTTCAGATAATTTCTACATTCAAGGTCATGGATTCTTTCCTTTATCATCTCCATTCTGCTATTAATTTTGGTTACTGCAGGTACTGTATTTCTCAGTTACAGAATTTCTCTCTTTTTGCAATACCGAGGATTGAAATCAGGTACACAGTGTCTCACTAAGTTGTTTAGGCTGACCTCAAATTTGCAATCCTTCTGCCTCAGCCTCGAAAGTCACTGGGATTACAGGTGTGTACCAGCACACCTGATTCAAAATTTCTCTTTTTTGTATTTTCTACTTTTTCTTTAGGAATTCCTATCTTTTTATTCATAATGAGGATATTTTCCTTTACATATATGGTTCTCAAACTTTAAGGTATATCACATAATCATGTTGACAGCTTTTGAAAAAGCAGACTACTGAGCCTTCTCCAGTTTCTGATGCAGTTGATCATAGGTGGAGGTAAAGAATTTGTATTTCCAACAAATACTCAGGTGACCCTGCAGCTACCAGTATAGGGACCACATTGAGAACCATGTTCCACATCACTGAGCTTAGATAGTCACAGGAAGGGTTTTCAATATTTATCTGCTACTTTCAACATCCGGATCATGCTGGGTTTGGTCTGTATATCTTTCCTATTGGAAATGAATCAATTTTCCAGTTTTTCCCTGTCTTGAGCAACTTTTTAGGATTGAAACTTGTACATTATAAACATTATGGTATGGAGACAGTGGATTGTGTTATATTCTCACCAAGGATGCCAATTTTGCAAAGTCCATCTTGAGAAGCAGAAAGCTCTCGGTCCTGTTCTCTTGCCCTCATCTAGGCTAGTGGGGTCTGAGGGATGATACCATATGTAATTGTCCTCATCCTGGCACAGACATGATTCAACCAAAGAGAAAGGGGGCACTACACACAGGATCTACACTTTCCCCTCTTGACCCTCCCCGTGGGAAACTCCTTTCAACTTCCAGTACCTGTGATCACCCAAATTCAACAATATGCTTCACCAGTGCAGAAGACTGTGAGGTCTGCATCCCTCTGTAGCTATCCCGCACCTCACCAACTCTGGCTGTTCTCAGAATGGGACAAATGGCCACACTGCTGCTTCCTTCTGACCACTCCCCCTGACCACAATGGCCTATTCTGATTTGTCCTCCACTGCCCCCATATGGGGTTTTTGGTACAGTGTCCAGTTGCTACCTACAGGAGGGTCAATTCAATATGAGCTCACTCAGCCAATACCCGAAGCAAAACTCCCTCCTAACATTATTTTTAAGTAAATATGAAAATTTTCCCAATCATTAGCTACTATAAATTCTAATAGGATTGGGGTTGTGGCTCAGTAGTAGAGCCTGGCATGTGTGAGACACTGGGTTGGGGTCTGAGCACCACATATAAATAAATAAAGGTCCACTGACAACTAAAAAAAAATATTTAAAAAATTATAGACGGGCAGAGTGGCGCATGTCTATAATCCCAGTGGCTCAGGAGGCTGAGACAGGAGGACGGCGAGTTCAAAGCCAGTCTTGGCAATTTAGGAAGGCCCTAAGCAATGCAGTGAGACCCTGACTCTAAATAAAATACAAAATAGGGCTGGGGATGTAGCTCAGTGGTCAAGTGCCCCTAAATTCAATCCCCAGCCCAGTACTCACCCCAAGAGATAAGTTATACTGGGACGTGTAATACTCTCTAAACAGATCTAGTTTGAAGTATATAAACTAAGATAAACAGGTTCCCATTAAGCCATAGAGACTACATATTTCTGTGACTCATGAAAAGGAATCATTACCTGCCCTTCATAAAACTTCAGTTGAAAAATGAAATTATATCTTTATATAATCTGAAGAGAAGTAGCTATTGTATGTTAAAAAATCAATTTGTCCCTTTCCAGAGATATTCTAGGTGGGCTATTTTTTTCTGCAAGTCATTCTGTCTCATCCACACATGTTATGTATTGAGCTTCTTTCTGATAACACAACTCGATAGCTGCCTGAAAAACCTCTAAGTAAGTTAAAATGCATTTTATTCTACTTAATAAGGGAAAGCTACAACCATGCAACCAATTTTCACTTCAACTCGCTGCTTGAGGGTAATTTAAAGGATCAATAGCAAAACTGTTACCTATGAGTTTATTTTACTAAGCATTTGGCTGTGTCGATCCATTTCCTAACTGCCTCTGATTGTTAAACATCCCGGGGGAAATGTCTTCCATGCATCCAATTCCACACCAGCTCCCTTCTAGCACACATGAGATGTGTGATTAAAAAATGAATTCATAATAAGCATTCCATTAAGGAGCACGTGAAGCAAGCTAACAAATTCAGTAAAGTACCAGTAATGCAATGCATATGCCAACAGGCAGACAACAATTCTGTCTGTTAAATAAACGGAGAGCCAGAAACAAAGGCATTCCTAATGAACACGGCAGCAAATTCATTAAAGCAGATTTAATATTGGTAGCTAAATCCTGGATCAGCTCAGAAGTCAACTGGTGATGTGGCTACTTGTTCCACCATTAGAAGCCGCTTGGAGGACTCCAGGCTGAATGAGAGCAAAGGACAGAGAAAGAGAAGCTTCGGTGGAGCACCACTGTCATGGTGGAGGTACTCCCTAACCACAGAAACAGGGGCGATGTATTTGCTTCCCAAAGAGAAGAATCAGGAAAGGAATATTTCTCTTGTGCGGTAGGAAGCACAATCTCAAACAGGCGTGGGAGTGATACAGGGTGTATCCACAGTCCTAATGAAAGGTGGTCAGGCCAGTGGATTCTGAGATAGTGACAGCAGCATGGAGAAAAGTCAGGCAAGGCGATACTTGACCTAGGAAGCCTTTGGGCCTCCCCAGATGCAATCCTCATGGGCATGGCCACATAGCTGTCCCCACTGACCACCTGACCACATACCACACAGTCCTTGACTGCTACAGAGAAACCGCTTCTGTGTGAAAAAAATGACAGCCAGTGGAGAGGCCAGTTAGTCATTTAAGGGGCCCTGATCTCCAGTTCCCATCTCTGCCACTGAGCTGCTTCTGTATTTATGAGTACAAGTTGACCCAGCCATCGACCCACTTAATTTTTCAAAATCTGCATTTGATATAAGCTCAGTTTTGAACTTCTATTAAGCCAACACTCTCCCCTCTCACTTTCCCTGTTCTGTGATCCCTGGAGGTCAAATCACCATAGGGGAAGTAACGAGTCAGCAGCACCTTCAGAAACAAGTTTCTCCTTCACACTGCTGTGTCTACAGGTTCCAAGCAAGAGAACTATACCTTTTGTTCTTAGCCTAAGAGGTTAACGTTCATCACTAACAGTATGTTACACACACCAGACTATCTATTTACACTTCATTTTTAAAGTAGATAATATTCCATATTCCTTGTCATAGTTCCTAAGGTTGATGAAGCTTAAATGAATAATTTTATAGATTACTTTACAAGACCACCTCTTATGACTTATTGCTACTTTGTGTCATATAAATCCTATTACTATGCCAATAAGCTCTCTTTGAATAAGTAGTTTAAAGAAAGCAGAGCACAAAACTGTTGAACTTGAATCTTACTAGTAATCAGAGTATTTCATAAAGCAATCAAGGGGAAAAACACTATTTTTTAATAAGCCTTAAGAGCAAAAAAAAAAATACTTACCATGTATTACAATACATGGTAAGTGTACATCTAATGTTGGCACAGATGGTAGCTATCCAATATCTGTCCTCCTCCTTCCACAGCATGGAACGGCAGCTGGGAAAAGAAACCCAGGACCCATTTCTTGACTTCACTTACAGCAGTCCAGAGACATTTCGCACCAACAGAAGGTGAAGAGGAATGTGTCAGCACCAGGCCACTGTGCTTGGAACCAGGACCTCAGCTCCTAGCCTTTTTTCCCTACCTGCTTGCAATCAGGTGACCAATGGAGCCCAAGACTCCACTAATCAGGAACACCCTGGACTCCTCCTTAAGCAAGAAATCGACTTTTCATGTGTTCAAGACACTGTACATTTATGTGTCAATTTGTTACAAACCCAGCATTACCATAACAAATACACAACCTGAAAGAAAGATTACTTTTCAAAAACAAAGTTCCGTGATGCTTCCGTTCCATGTGTAGTACTCCAAAATGGTCCATCAATAGAAAGCAAATTATAAAACTTACTGTGAACAACATCTATGATTTTAAAAAGTAGCTAAGATGAAAGTTTCTTACGTTTCTAAAGCAGAAGGGAGGTGCTTCTTCCGCCCCATGCTGCTTGTGATAATCCGCCCAGTCAAAGTCCTGGCCGGAGTAACCTGTGAATGATGAAACACAGAGAGCCAACGTTAGCTGAGCCAAATCCCAGACAAATGCTGAACCTTAGCATGGGTCAGTGGTTGAAATCCTAAGAGGAGCAAGTCTAAGTCCTGAAGGATGAGTCCTCAAGGCTCATAGCATCAGATTTCATAAGGCTCAAATGAAATATTTTGGAAAATGCAAAACACCTAATACAGGCAAGGAGTGCCATCATCACAATGCAGGACCTGAAACCAGCTGAAGAAGGGGAAACTTACCTGCTGCTCTGCGGGACACCTGCTGGCAGGTACAGAACAGCAGAGAGAAGGAATGACACAGAACATTCTTACGATCCATTTTGCAGAAACAGACAGAGATACCTCCTTTCTATAAATGCCAAGAGCACAGCAACTTTACTTTCAGTATCTTCAAAGAAATAATGAGCATTTATTGGGAACAAATACAGTTGGGAGATAGTTTTTAAAAGAATAAATGAAGAAAGAGCAGAAGACAAACAAGGAGACAAAGCCCTCAAAGACACAAAAGAGGAAGAATATAAACCATGTCGTGGAACTGAACTGCAAGGATGAAGGAAAGGGAGAATTGGGAAAGATGGGCCTCTCTGGCTTGAAGCTTTGGGGGGAAATTGGAGATTCTAAGGAAAGGGTTTGAGAAATGACCATTCACGTGCACTGAATTTAATTAAATGCAGTGTGATTTTTCTTTCTTTTACTGACTTCATTTCTGGAGCAGAGGGGGGTTGCAATTACACAGTATGTATCCATCACGGCAACCACAGAAGACACGGGAGGAGATGAGGGGAAGCAGCCCTGGCTCAAAAATGAGAAAGACATACAGGGAGGAAAAGGCCTCCAAGTCAAGCCAATGAGCCAACATCAAGGAAAAGGGGTGAGGTGCTTAAACTTCTCCAGTCAACAATGGACAGAGATGGGAAGTACAGACCAACAGTGGTTAAACTACAATGTGAGCAACGTCACTGTCATACACTTGATTCGGTGTACTTTCTTTATTAGTTGAAGTGCGTGCAAGATAAATCCATCAGGGACTTCTGAAGTACACTTTTGACACTAGTCCCCCAATTTCTCATATCCATAGTGTCATAAACCCCACCAATGTAGATTCACTTCATGTTGAGACTTAACTTAAATCCCCACAGGTGCAGAGATCAATTAATTACAGAAATTATTAAAGGAACTCAAGATATGGTTGCCAAAACAAAAAGATATGCCCCCAAAACAAAAGTGTTATTTTTATTAGCTAAGTTCAATTTACTGTCCACCCCCCGGCCCAGGATTGCAGAGAGAGCTATTAACCAAGAAAATAGCTCTCCTCTGGTTCCAAAGACTGACCTCTGACCCACCCATGCCCCACTGACCAGCAGCAGCAGGAATGTCCTCATTTTTCTTAAGACATCTATTTCATTCTACAAAGACTGACAACTCATTTCTTTCAACAAAGTGACACGATACTTCCAAATATTATATTCTCTTTTCAGGTAATTTCAAAGTGGTTCCTGAAGTTCTTCTGCCTGTGTTTCCACTAATGTTTTTCTCTTCAGAGCTGTCCCTCCTGCTAAATGGCTCTTGCATCAGAGGTTTCTGGAAGGGACAAAACTAAGGTACTTCGAATATTTTCACATAAAACAAAGAATGCCTTAAATAAGGTAATGGAATTTGAGTTTGTTTTACAATTGATAGAACACTGCACTGTGAGCACAGTTTGGAATTGTTGTGGAGCCAATCTGCCTGTTCATGTATCAGAGTACAAGGGACCATGAGCCCTCAAGACCTTCGGTATGGTCACAAGTTTCTTGACGGCACAGAAGGCACTGAATCAGAAAACAGGAGGGCTGGTTTTAGCTTCAGTTCTGCGGGTCAATGGGTGGACCATGGTGAAAATAAACATATGCCTGACTTTCTGCATCTATGAGGCCACAAAATAAAGAGCAAAGCTTCAAGGCTCCCTCTGGCTGTCATACTCTATGACTCAGAGCTGCCATTTCTAATGATCTTACTGTTGCTCCCTAGGATTTTCTTTCCATCTCTTTGTGGTTAATTCTTTTCTTTTACTAGGAGAAGAGTGTAACAGGGTTAGAAACATCCCAACTCAATCCATGAAGACCAGGTGAATGCCCCCAACACCAGGGTCCTATCTGCCTGGCAGGCTGGCTTTGTAAGGGTCAAGACCTTCTTCTGTGTCTCCTCCCTGGACCTCTGTTCCTTCCTTGGTTAATTTTGTGAGCTCATGAGATCATGGGTGCTAAACAGATATAAAGTAAAGCATTTTCTGATACTGATATAACACCGCATTTGGATATTCAATACAATAAATATCTATTCAGATAAAACTTTCTAACCTTCTGTCATTCTATTTCTTAAATATAGACATTTAGCTGGGTTTTCTACACCAGCTTCTAATGGGTTTCAACCCACTCCACACAATGTCATGTTCCATGTTTGCCTGGGTCTACATTCAACCCTGCATATGCCCAGGTCCCCACAGTGACTGTGGGGAGCCATTTTTAATCAAATAATTTCTAGATATAATCAAGTCTTGCTGGGTACAGTTTAAGCAATAATTAGTGATTCTGCCCCCAAAACTCACTATTTTCCTTGAACATTGAAAAGGCTTAGACTTTTCCTCCTCCTCCTCCTCTTAGGGACATTTATTCACTTCATCACTTAAAATTCCTTTCCTTTGGGCTGATAATGAGCTCTCTTTGTAAGGCATTTTTTGTGACAGCTCAGAAAATAACTGCTACATAAAAACAAATTGCTGTGGATCGTATAATAGAGACAACAGGGGTCAATTATGCTCATTAATCAACAAAGACAGAACAAGAAGTACTGAGGCTTAACTGTAGCCAGGAAAACATGTTTTAAACCTGGAGGGAGGGAGGAAAATAGCAGAGGGGAGAAGAAAATAAAAGGAAATATACCCCCTTAGGCTATTAAAATTTGCAACAAGCTGCCAGGGGAGACTGTTGAACCACAACCATTAGAGTTATTTTAGCTTTTATCAGTGTTTATTCTAAATGAAGTTCCAACTGTTCCAGGTCCAAAAGGGATAAGGCAGATGACCCATTTTCACATGATATAAATGAATGGTCATAAACCAGCTCCACTTACAAACATTATCATCAACTGTGCAAATGGACAATTCTTTTGAAAAACCATTTGATAACAGCAGTAAAAATATCCAAGCCCTTTAACACAACAAATTCACTTCTGAGAACTTATCCCATAAACAGGACCCTAAAATCTGAGAAAGGGTGATACATTAAGATACTTATAGGATTATGTAATAACTTTCCATTCAACAAGAAATGATGTGAGACTTATCCAAATGCACAGGATGTCACGCAGGCATGAAATTGCAAAGAGTATACTGAAAAAAAATCATTAATGAAAAAAATAGGTTGTTATGCTTTAGATGTGAACACTGCTGCAAGCTTACATTGAATTATTAGATTTATATAAAAATATGTGAGGAAAAGACCAGCAAAAATGTTGAGAAAAAATTTAATAAATAAATATCAAAAATAATTGTTTTAGGACTGGGGATAGCTCAGTTGGTAGAGTGCCTACCTTGTGTACACAAGGCCCTGGGTTCGATCTCCAGACCACAAAAAAAAGAAAATTGTTTTGGACTCTTGGTTACTTTTTTCTTTGACCTTTTTGTATATTCCAAGTTTGCAATAATGATTATGAAATTATTTCAGTAATAAAAGTCAGATGAAAACATGGCATCTTTGCTCACTTTCAGCAGATAATCAGGGCACAGGTCAATCAGTGGAGGGGTCTGTCCAGCATGTTGAAGACCCCAGGGCTGTCTTTCCTCAGCTATCTGTCATTGGATTTGCTAACAGAATCCAGATTTTCTCTGGCATTGGTTAGGCCCCTCCTTGGCACCGGGAAGTGAATCTTGGCTATTCAGAGACCATCACAGTGTCCCTGGCCTGAGGCTTGGGATAGGAGTTTGAAAAAAGTTTAAGGAAAGATTTCTTTTTCTAATAAGGGAGACATACAGGACTAAAATTCTTGTACCAGGTGGCTGTAAAAATAAAGTGTGCAATTGTAATAGAAAATATGAAAAGAATCTCATTTTTGCCAACTACTGGATTGGCAAAATGAAAAGCATTAATAAGACATCACATGCTAAAGGTTGCTGGGAAAGAGGCCTTTATGCATTTCTTCTTGGAAAACAACTCAAAACACGGAGACAGGTGTCAATTTCATTATAGGTGTCATGGGTCAGAATCTTCAAGAATGTGCCCACCTCCAGCCTACACAGCTGCTCCTTCACATGGTCCTTTATTCAAATCTATGGACCTGGCACATGCTATGTGCAAGGCAGGTGTTAACACTTGGGATACAGAAGTGAAAAAAGTGGCAAAACCCCTCCCCTAGCAGGGCTCACCTGCAGTGAGGGCAGACACGGTAAGCATCAGTTTAAAAACCCAGATGCTCCCAAATGCTAAAAGACAAAGTGCAGAAAGCACACGGAGATGGCTGCTCCTGTTAACAGAGCAGTCAAGGAGGCTCCCTGACAAGGCGAATGGTGGCACGGGTGTCCTGGGGCAGAGGAAGGAGGCATGCAGCTCTTTGGGGAAGAGAGGATACCAGACCCCAGATCTGCTGAGTGCAAAAGCCCAGGAGTGAGTCTGGAGTGTTCATGGGTCAGCAAGAAAGATGGGGAGGCTGAAGCAGAGGGAGGAGGTGAGAACAGCCATTCTATGCTGGGGTCAAAGGGGACAACTGTGCAAGAGTTTTATATATAAAGATGACAAATTAAAACAAGAGCAACAGGGGAGCGTTTGAACGATTCACCTACAGATCTTGGGATGCACCATATTTAAAGTCATCAATATTTTGACATGACACATCTTAATGACAAAAGCAAAGTGTGAACACATAAGTTAATATATAATGTGTAAAATAATGAAGAAGGTATACAAAGTTGTATACCCAAGGAAACAGAAACTGGGAGGAATACATAC